CGCCCGACGTCGTGTCGCGACAATGCGTAGGTTTAGAAACCACGCTACACTCAAAGTACTTGGGTATGACAAACATACTTGATTTGACAAACAACAAATAACAAAAATCATTGTGCATTTTAGTTATTAGGAGAGAGAAGAAAAAACACAAACAATCGATCAGTGATGATATTTAGCTTTTGTTATAGTTATAATGGCCAAATTTGGCCACCAAAAAGCGTCACATACACTTCCTTAATGGTACGGGTGCCACCCATTTGATGAGGAAGAAAAAGAAAGCCATAGAAACACCTTGCGTGAAAAGATGAGAAATTAAAAATGAAACTATTATTACAATCCATAGTAAAAGGTCTTTTGATCTATAGTGATTTTCCCATATCATTTAACTTTTGTTATAATATTCTACTATATTTGTAATTTATGAGGCTAACAATCCTGCATACTATCTGAAGAAGGCAGATGAACTAAATAATAATTCTAATTAGTTAGTGTATCTAATGAAGTCATGTATCGGGGGAATGTTGATGCTATTCATATGCTGAAATATTTGATGCTTTTCAGGATGATACAAGATTTGAGAAACAAAGCGCGCTTTTTGCTCTAGCGATTTCAGACATTGTATTGATAAACATGTGAGTTAAGTTTGTTTAGCATTTATATATGTTTTATTTAACCATCTTTTGCTCTTATGCTATGACACACTTTGCCTAATTGCTACAGTGAAACACCATTCAATATTATGCATGACTTATTGATTAGGTCGTGTTTGATCAAGACAACCACATAAAATAAATCTGCCAATTAAGGTGACAAATTGTTCAGGTTAAGCTATAGGTTGATGAGACATTATGCACACAAATGCACTTAGAGTTTTCACTTCTTGTTTTAATTAAAACTTGCATATTATATGCAGATGGTGTCAAAGAATCAATTCAACCCAAAAACTTAAGCTATTAAATGAGGTTCCAACATATGATTTATATTATTCTCTAACACATCATTTTAAGTAAAAGCCTTTGGGCTTGAAACTTACATAGACCCACATTATCTTATGCGTAATTTTTATCAAATAAATAAGGATGATGATATGTGCTTTGATACCAACTAATGCGAACCTCTTGATCAAACGGTCAAGCAATCCCCAACGAAGATGATACTTTCCCAAGAAAGCTAAGAATTAGGTTTGAGAAGTATGACACAATGGAAACTTGTTCTAAAACACCAACATTATTGGAATTGAAACAAATGTCGCCACAATATTAGTTATACCTTGATAAGTCAGATTTAATCTTTTTTTCCAGCAAAGATAACATGTTGCATCATGAAAAATACAAGTTTATTTCATAAATTCATTGTTCCTGCTTTTTAGCATAAAAAAACTTATATAATATTTCAAATAACCCTAATGGATCGTATATGTCGGCTGATTTGAGCACACTTACAAAATTGATCCAAATAAGTAATAATAAACCAAATACTAAGAAGAAAATAATAAAAATCCAAAATTAATATCCTAGATATGCTAGAATTAAATTTGCCACCCATAAGAAGTCAAAAATAGACTAGGAAATCTTATCTAAATATAAAATTGATTCTGAAGTCTTCTTGCCTTGTTGTGCTTGGTTTTCTTATTTGTCATGGATAATTAAGACAAAACCCGATTTGATATATGGACGCGTAACAACTCCTTTAAAACCCAAATTTAGAACCTAGGCCCAACGATGTCCAAATGACTTGAAATTTGATATTTAGTGTGATTTCACATTAAATAACGAGAATATTATTTTTGAGTTAATTATGATAAGTTTGATATATTGTTGCGAAACAGATGTGTTACAAACCTGTCTTAACCCAAATAACATTTTCTAATTGCTTTCTTTTTTTATTTTCCCTAACTAGAACACAAAAAACCATAGAATAATAAGAATAAACACAAGAAAGAAAGAAAATACTAACCCGAAACAAAAAGAAGATAGACAAAAAGAAATTATCACGAAGAAAAAAATACTGAACCGAAACAAAAAGAAGATAGACAAAGAGAAATTATCACGAAACAAATAGATAAAGGGATATAACTTGATTTCGGAGCCTAACTCTGATACCAACTGATGTAAACCTCTTAATCACGTGGTCATACAATCCCCAACAAGGATGATATGCCTCTAAGGAAGTCAAGAATCAGGTTTGAGAAGTGTGATACTAGGAAAACCTGTTCCAAGACCTTAACACTATTAGAATTGAAATGAATGATGCCACAAGGTTAGTTATACCTTGATAAGTCATATTTGATCTTTGTCCCAACAAAGATAATGCATTGCATCATATAAAATACAAGTTTATTTCATAAATTCCTCGTTCCTACTTTTCAGCATATAAAAAACTTATATAATGTTTCAAATAACCCTAATGGATCCCATATGTGGGTTGATTTGAGCCCACTTACAAAATTGATCCAAATAAGTAATAATAAACTAAAAATTAAGAAGAAAATAATAAAAATCCAAAATTAATATCCTAGATATGCTAGAATTAGATTTGTCACCCATAAGAAGTCCTAAATATACTAAGAAATCTTATCTGAATATGAAATTGATTATGAAGTTATCTTGCCTTGTTGTTTTTTGTTTTCTTATTTTACATGGATAATTAATGAAGAAAATCTCCCTTTTTTGTAGTTGTCAATTTAGTTTTCTTTCGAGACTAGAAGAATCATTAATTAATCCTTCCAAGTTTAGAAAATTAGATCTGGCAGCCCCCTAGCATCTTTTGTTAACTAGAAAACTTCCTCATTTATTGATAAATATTCTTCTAAATAATAGGTAAAATAATGAACAAAATTTCCTTGAATTTTTAAAAATATTTTGCTTACTTAAATCCTTGTAGAATTAGGAAATCAATCCCAAATATATTTGATCTGATCCTAACATTTTAATTAATTCAAGCCAACTTTGAACCTGATGTGGACCAAACTTATATTCATTAATAAGAACCAAACCAGATCCAAAATACACTCCAAATAAACTTTATGTGCCACCCATAAGAAGTCCTGATCTGGATGATGAGATTCGAACTTGTGACCGCTTAGTCATCAAGACTCTGATACCATATCAGAGAACTAATTCAACCTAAAAGTTTAAGTTATTAAATGAGGTCCCAAGATATGATTTATATTATTCTCCAACACACCCCTTCAAGTGAAAGCCTTTTGAGTTTGAAACTTCCACATGTCTATATACTACCTTGTGCTTAATTTAAATCAAATAGAATGACGATGATGATATTCGAACTCATGACTACTTAGTCAATAAGGCTCTGATACTATATCAAAAAATCAATTCAACCTAATAAATTAAACTATTATGTAAGATCTCAAGATATGATTTATATTATTTTCTAACAGATGGTGCCATGATATTGGTCGAGAGCATGCTGCCAACAAACCCCTTCTTAAAATAGTTTTCCAGGTATTGATCTGTCATTTGTATGCCTGCGGCTAAAGTGTCTTTGTGGATGGATTTATCATATGTTATAGTCCATCATTTTCCATGGTGCACATAGGTGATGATGCGTTTATTCAGCCCCCGTAAGACTACACTGCTGTTTGTTATACGTGATCAAACAAAGGTCTGGATTTATGCTATTGAGCTTCTTATACGATGATTAAAGTACTTCTGATTATTGAATGTATCTTTTGTCATGTGATGAATATTCACCCTCTTTGTGATTGTCTATACAGACTCCACTTGAGTATCTGGAGCTTGATCTAAGGAAAGATATTCAGAAGGTATTTTTGGCATTTGTACTGTGTATGGCCTTTTCTCTTTTGGGAAACTATTTGTTTTCTGCAGTATTTTTTTTTTAAGGTTATACTTCATGCAGATATGGAGTGAAGTTGCTAAACCTGAGGTTCAAAAAAATTCTCCCCTGAGTGATTTTTTTAATGTATGTAGAGTCCTCTCTTTTGCATATTTCTCACAAATGTTTTAATTATGCTTCGTTTGTTTGTTTGTTTGGTTTTTTTTACTTTTCAATTAGCTTGTATTTGCTTCTGATAATTTACACAGGTGGAGGTTATTGCTTTGTCTAGCTTTGAAGCAAATAAGAAGCAATTTAAAGAAGAGGTAACTGTGCATACCTTTATTATGATAAGAATAGTGTTTAATTATTTTTTCTATTTGATATAGGTTTAGGAAATTAAACTAAATTAACAACATAAAATCCAAAATTTAACTAAGAATCCAAAAATAAAAGTAAAATAACAAAATTGGCTCAAACATCATATTCCAAGCCTAATTTAAAGGTTTTTGGACCTTGTTTGGACACAACGAGTTGCCCCCTATAAAGCTAGGCTGGTAGAATCTCTGGTCAAATTTAGATATGATCGAACAATCAAATTAAAAATGATGGATATTTTTAATGGAAAATTGTCCTTTAGATAATTGTTAATTTGAGGTTTGAAAAAAAAGTTTGTAGCTTGACTTAACAAGAATTTTTTTTTGGAGAACCAAAGTTACATATAATTAATTACTCCCACCCTACACCTATAACAAGATGCAAATAAAAAGTATAAATCACAACGAAGTTGATCAATTCTTTAAAGAGTTTACAAGTTTAATTAAGAACTTAATAAGAGAATCACTCAACCATACAAAGAAACAAAGAAACAATACGTGGGAAAATAGTGTTAACAATTGGTTTATATAGTAAAAAGCTAATCCTAATATGACTTAATGGACCAAAACTTGATAAATAAACTAATATATTAAAAACCCAAAATAACTAAAATAGTAAAATACAACACAACCCAAATAAAATCTTAAATTCCACATGCTCTCAAATAAACTAAAAGATAAATAAATAATAGCATAACTAATTAAAATAAGATCAAAGTTGAATTTCATTATTTGTTGATAGAATCAAAACTCAACTTCAAATGAATAATCTCTTTTTGACGTACTAGAAGGTCCACATATGTTATTGAAAAATTATGGATGTCTATTTTTCAATATAACTAGAATCGTATCAAAATTCATTATTTAGCTTCATTTATGACCAAAACAGTAGTTAAAGGTCAAATCTAAGCATATTTGAATTTTTTTATTCCAATCTTTCTATAATGTCTAAATGCTCTCTTACAAGCTCTTCTTGAAAATGAATCAAATTAGTTAAGATCTATTCTTTATTATTTAATACCCTCTTAAAATTCACCTTAATTTATGTATCTTGAAAAAGTCTATTAATTGCCTCCTTGAAACTCTTCGTTATAAGTCTTGTGACTGAATCTAATGAAAGCTTTAATAGATCTCTTGATGTTGAAGCTAGGATTATTTCATTCCCTCTCTTCTCAAAAGGATTCGCCAAAGAAGTTAAACACTAGCTAGTTATGTTTTCAAAGGATTAGCTTTCTTTTGAAGTGCTGATTATTGATCTGTAGCTTGTTATGTTTGCACAACTGATTGAAGTTCAAAATCATTTATCGGAAACTCGTTTAATGGATCATTCAAACTGAAACGTGTCCGATTGTGAAAAAAGAAGAAGAAGAGAAACTGATAGAGAAAACTGCCTTTTGAGTTTGCGCAACTGATTGAAGATCAAAATCATTTATCGGAAACTCGTTTAATGGATCATTCAAACTGAAACGTGTCCGATTGTGAAAAAAGAAGAAGAAGAGAAACTGATAGAGAAAACTGCCTTTTGAGTTGCATCGAATTGAAGTTTTCTATCGGTACACTAATATGATGTCTTACACAGGTTGCTCAACTGAGGCAGCGGATTTCCGATTATTTTTCTACAGGGGGCCGCCTGGCTGGTGATAGGCAGGGAGTTGTCCCTGCTTCAGGATTTTCTTTCATTCTGCAGCAGATATGGAAAGCAGTGAAAGAGAACAGGGATCTGGATCTTCCTGCTCACAAGGTTTATTAAAATCCCTGCCCTTTTCTTATGTGAACATAAATTATTAAATTCTACTAGGTAAAATGTAGTTTCGCTGTTTGCTTACCAGGTGATGGTTGCCACTGTTCGATGTGAAGAGATTGCAAACGAGATGCTCAAACGGTTGAACTCTGATAAGGTAATATGTTTCGTCCTTCTGTTCTCTGTAGAATTACTTTCAGAATTGGTAAGCCTAGGATCAGGCAGTGGTAAGCTGATTTCTTACAGGTTTGGATGGCATTAAAAGAAGATGTTAAAGCTGGTCTGGTACCAGGGTTCGGGGAAACACTTCGCCCTATTATAGAATCCTATCTTTCAGAGTAAGTGTGGACATTGCTATGGATTCTACAATTCTCTGAAATGATGTGCTATATTCAACTTTTAACAGAAACTCAAAAGCTTTTAAACCAGTTTAATTATCAGGACATTTCAAGAGCTTTTTCTTGCAGCCTAGTTCTGGACTGTACTCCTTATTCAGTTTTATTTGCAATGATCTCTGATATTGCTCATGGAGTCTAAATTTCTTTTTCAACAGATACGACAAGGAGTCCATCTATTTTGATGATGTTGTAAGAAATGCAAAACGGCAACAGCTGGAGCTAAATGCGTTAGATGTAATACCTCAGTTACTGTTTGTGCTTTTCTATTTAGTTTCATTGTTCCCTTTAGATAGCTGAAATGAAGTAGACTTCCTCATTCATGTGCCAAAACCTAAGCAAACTAAGCAATAATATAAATCTCAATTCAAAAACTTAAGTTGTTATGTGAGGTTTCAATATATGATTTATATTATTTTCTAATATATTCTCTCAAATAAAAACCCTTTGAACTTGAAATTTATATAAACCCATATTACTTTGTGCTATTAAACAAATAAGGATAGTGAGATTTGAACTCGTAACCGTTTAGTCATTAAAACTCTAGTACCATGTCACAGAACCATCTCAACCCAAAAACTTAAACTGTTAGGTAAGGTTTCAAGATATGATTTATATTATTTTCTAACAAAGAATAATTTGCTACTAAATCTAAATCAAAACTAATAGACAAAAAGTTTTCTTTCCAAATTACAACAATTGTTTGCTTCCTTTTTCAACAAAGATTCCATGATTCAATTTAAGTCATATTTTAACAGCTATCCTAGTTCTAGAAGGTGGGTTTATTGATATAATCTTGGAATTTAGTTTATGTAAGTTCTATTTGATTTAACTAAAATTGTTACAAAATTACCAATGATGAAGTTAGCCTATCATGCATAGGTGGTACGCCATGCTCAAGCTACCATGTTGGGCCATCTCAGTTCAAAGGCACTCAAAAGTTTTAAGATTGGGCTGAAACAATCGCTGAACGATGGAAAAGGGTTTGCTGAATCTGTTCGTGCTAGTAAACGTTCTTCCATGTCCGATTTTGATCGAGGATGTGAAGGTAACATCTTGCTATTGAAAGTTCACACACACACACATGTATATGACATATTGGCCGACACAAGTTTAACTTGTATTTGCACATCATCTGTTCTCTTTGCAATTGAATTAAAACTCTCTTGCTTCTCTTGGTATGTCTTTTTTGTGTGTAAATAATCTGAGTTTTTATAGCTGTTGGTATAATAATAGGATCTTGTTTCCACTATTCATCTCTACCAGTCCAATCGTGCTTAGTGTCCCCCTAAAGAGTTTAGATACTACAACTTAGACTACTTCTATTCAGTAAATCGTGGAATTTCGCAACTCTTGGTGTGTACTATCTGTATGGCTGCTGAAATAGCTTTGTTCTAGCAATGCATGCGAGGATTTAAAAAACTCTCTGCAACAGTTTTCATTCTTTATGAGAGTTGATTTTTCTTCCACCTGATATCCTCCACCTCCATGCTGAATAGCTTGCATTCTATTCTTGAACAGTATCAAGTTGAATGAATACTTCATTAAAAAAAAATAAATAAATTGATTGGCTGATATAGAACAGGTACTCTAGTGTCCAAGGACAGGTACCACAACTTAATATCAAGCTGCTGCTATTAAAGAACTAATCCCTCTATTTCAAATTGCTTGCATATTCTTGGAAAATATCTGATGGTATACTTAATAATTTTCTTGGACATCCTGCTCTCTCAGATGCTTCCATAAGACACAGTAATTTGGATGCTTCCGAGGCCCGCAAAAAACTTGGCAGTGATATGGAGACAGTCGCGTCATCGATATCCACAAGCGAGTTGTCAGAATTGATGGCCAAAATTAAGGCATATAATCTTCAGATACTTTTTTACAATCGATGATTATACCAAATGACTAAATCCTGACACTTTTTTTTATTCATATTCAGAAACAACTCACTGATGATCTAACTGGACCTGTAGAATCCGTACTTGAAGCTGCTGAAAACAATATGTGGCCTTCATTGAGAAAGCTTGTTAAGTACAAGTCTAAGGATGCTGTCTCCGAATTTTCAACTGCTGTTGCTAGTTTTGAGTTAGACGGATCTAAAATTGACAGAATGGTGCAAACTTTGAGGAAGCATGCAAGAAACGTAGTTGAAAAAAAGGCTAGAAAAGCAGCAGCAGCAAATAAAACCCTTTCCCGGATGAAGGATAGGTGGAGCACATAATTGTTGCATACTTTTCTTCTTTCAATTTTTCCTTTCTTCTGGTTAAATCTTTTGGTCATATTTCAGGTTCACAAGGGTTTTCAATTATGACAACCATTCAAGGCCAAGAGTTTGGACTGGCAGAGAAAACATTGAAACAATTGTGAAAGATGCACACTCTGAGGTATTATAGCTAAGGTTCTTTTAAGGATTGCCTGCCAGCACATGTATACATACCTAACATCTGAAAATAATCTCGAAATTATTTCTTTCAGTGTTTGAAAATCCTGTCAATCATGGCAGCCATTCGCCTAGACAAGAAGCAAGATAATATCGAGAAATTTCTTTCCTCGCTCATGGATGAAACTGTCTCTGTTCCATCTTCCAGAGATAGAAGCAATGAGGCTGCTAGAGACCCCCTTGCGTCAAGCAAATGGGAAGAGGTAACACGTTTCTAACCAAGTTGTTATACCTTACATATGTGCTTATATCTCTATCAACTTTCTAAACTGATTTTCACATGATTTCACACAATATCAAATATGAGGCAGATCTCTCCAAATGATACACTGCTGACACCAGTGCTGTGCAAGTCATTATGGGAGCGGTTTGAAGCAGAGACCAAGAATGTAGTGGACCAAGCTATTTCCTCCCAGGTACCTTATTATATATCTTCGTACCATATTTTATGGTGTATCCTCGTGCAAAATGTATATTCATATGGATTTTGGTTGCGTTCACACTATTTAAACGAATGTTTTATTTATAAAATCAACTAATTTTGATAATTTGGCAGAATATTTCCTGAAT